AGAAGGATATATATATATATATATATATATATATAGGGTTAAAATGGTTAACATTGCCGCGTAAAGACATTCCCTTAAAATGCATTATCAATTCGAAGTTTAGGAAACACGTCTCTGATGCTAAATATATGGTTAGCCTTTAGTCTAGAAAATATATTTATAATACTATGATCAAGCCATAATCTAAAAAATGCATATTTAGCCCATTTTCTAGGAAAGATACTTCTCGTGCTAGATATGGATATAGACAGATAATTTTGTTTTAGAGCAAAGTCACATTGCACTATCTGCTGTGTCCACCTCAGGGATCGAACCCCAGATTTAATGTAAGTCTGTATACTTACCGCTGTCCCACCGGGAGACATTTGGGGAATTACGATATTTATCTTTGTTGTTTAGAATGTTGATATTTAGATTATTACGCCATTTTTCAAAATGTGTGTAATCTATATTGTGCATTGGTTTTTCAACCAATGTTTGATTTATTATTTTAATTAACTTGATTAAATATATTTGTATTCCAACTTTCTGAATATTTTAATAACTTACAAATATTTGTAAATGACTGTTAGTACTTAATAAAGTAAGTCATACCGAAATCCCCTAAAATGAACCGATCTCTTGAGGCAGTACTGTGACTATGACCAGAGGACTGTTCGTTTGTTGTTAAGCAAAAATATACACAGTGATATGTGATCTACTCAACATGGATATCTAAACCCATTTTTTAATGTTATAAACCTTCATACTAACCAGGGCAGCTAGCATACGTGTATTTTACTCTCTGAATCAGGCAGATTCCTGAGACATTAAGCGTAGTCCAATGATGAACTCCGAAATATTCATTAAATATGTTATTCGTTAATTCTGTGGTTATATTGCTTATCATTGAAAATTTAGATTTATGTGGCTTGTATAAATGAGTGTACTTGCTTTAATTAAACACGGAATATAGCTGTGTATGTATATTGATCAACCAAGTATATATTCCCCGTTCCTTGTTAAAATGCAATAGAACAAGAAATAACATTATAAAAAATGGAGGAAAAATAGTATGTTGCATAAAATTTCCTTTGTTTTTGTATTACTTTTGTCAGTATAATTTCCCTACACTCTGTTGACGTTTTTACTGTCATGTTCGAAACGGCGTGGTAACGGGAATTGCTGTTATGACTCGTGAAGATCTTGAGTTCTTATACAGAACTTTATTGGATTTTGGAGAGATGTGCAATAGTAACTTTTTTCCCCCAGATCACGCCAAAATACTCAAGTTAAGTCATTTTGCTTAGGCATTAATATCACATAATAAGTTATGCTTTTTAAAACTCGTATTTGATATAGTAAATCACTGTAATTATTTAATATTAATCTTCTTGGGACTGATTGTTCGTATTATATACGTATAGAAGATTTGTATAATGGAATGAAAGAATTTGTTGTATCTATTTTTAACTTGTCTTTCCATATTGAACTTCCTGATGAGTTTATTTAACGACACTCTCTCTCACAGACAACAGAAAACGACAGGGTAAATCACACATAACGTAGAATTTAGGAGCTCTTTAACAGATGATATCGTTGAAAGAGAGTTTCATGAACGGAAACTAGAATGGAAATTTGAATCTGGGAAAGTGGTCAGTGCCTGACTCATCAGATCATTCCCTCTTAGAAAACTTTTAAAAATCATCTGTCTGGTACAACATTTTGTTAAATATGTACTTTATATTAGAGAAGAAGAAAATTCCAAACTGTGATCTAAACTGCAAGAAAGAAAAAAAAAATGTTTCTGAGACACGCTCAGATATGTCAGGAATTTATAAATGATACTAGCTGAGTTAAGGAAGCAAAAACTCTGTGAAGTACAATGCTAGATTAATGTTCCCATTCGCCTTCCTTTTGTAATTAAATCCGTAATGACCACATTAGCTGCTAATTTCATACCCTGTTTTGTGGAAGGTATAATTGACTCATTTAACTGATCAAAGTATTTGTGTCTTTAAATTTAAAGCAAAAGCCTATCAAAAAAATAGAAATGTGCCCTATTTCAGGATGTTTTTTATCCCT